GCCAGTTTGATAAGAGTCTACCAAGGAAAGTCATTACAAACATTTCACGTGAGGATAAAGGTTTTGGATAATACCAGCGCAAAACTTCCTAGGTGGGACCCAGTTAGAAACGTCTACCGGTTGTGTTCTCAAGCCCGCTAAAACTGTTTCCGATTAAGGATGTCCCCAAGTATCTAGACGTGACTCCCAAGTTATGATTTCTCCCTCAACATATACGCAAGAACTGCTGTATTGTGGAAGAGACTCCCGGCATGACGTTTTCCTGATCACTACATTTTGTCCTCGATGGCTGTCCGCTTGTGAATACTAAGCACTTTAAGGTTGGTTGGAGCGGGTGGTGTAATGTATATTGGCTCGAAATTGGAGATCGAAGAACCGAGTTCTAATTCCAGTTGGGTTCATTATATACCCTTACGCACAAATACTCTTGAGAAATGTACGAATCCAATTCTTCTCTCCCAGCTCTAGGTTAATTAGTAGGACTTGTATCAGTAAATTATAATTATCTCCAAAACATTATTATGACCTAAAAATATTTAAAGGCTTTAAATATCCTGTAAAAGGTTGATATGCTTTAAAAATATAAATAAATCGATTTTGCATTTTCTTACGTTCGTACGGCACGATGCTCTTACTCGCTAGCTTGAGTGGCTCTTGGGCCTTTATTGTGTGAACATTAGTATAAAAACTATCTGCATTCGTTATCGCCTCTAAATATTTTACTTTCATCTTTAAGCCGCTAATATCTTCGCGCATTTCTAATTTCGCACAGACAAATTAATTATCTATTCAACATTAAAATCAATTAATTAGACCGATATTCAAGCCTTAATTAAACCACGTAGATTAAAACCGGAATTAATTAAGAACATTTTCTGTGATTGTTGGCGCGATGTGTTTTGACTTGCAGCCGAAAACGCGGGAAACTCAAGGTTATATGAATGTTTCTTAGCGCGGAAAGAGTTTTGTCTTTCCAAGTGAAGCTACGTCGCGAAACTTATGAAGAATTAAATTATATTGAATATAAAGGATTGGATGCTGATCATCTGAGAGTATCAAAACCCACAGACACACACAGACACACACACAAAACACACACACATATATATATATATATATATATATAATTATTTATTTAAAAATATGTTTCCATAATTATATTCATGCTCTACTTTCGTATCGAGCACTATTTTTTAAATCTAATAACTAAAATACTAAGGAACTTTGGGTTATTTACCTAACCAGTTCCTTCCTATTTTCATATATATATATATATATATATATATATATATATATATATATATATATATAATAAAAAAGGCTTAAACACTAATATTCCATGGTCATAATTTATTCCATTGGAATCGTAAATACAGACATTGAGTTCTACCTGGATTCTTCCTCTTGAAAATTTTTTTTTCTGAAAATATACATGTATGGGTATTTATATGTTTTGCATACGTATGTATATTTACCACTAATATTATCTATCTATCTATCTATCTATATATATATATATATATATATATATATATATATATATATATATTTTTTATTCCCATAATTTTATTTTTTTTTTTTTTTTTTTATGCGGTAAATTCCAAAGATGAACCTCAAAAATGTACATTGCATCAGGTTCCTGTGCACATTTGCTCACAGTGTGTTTAATTCTCCACTTATGTCGATCAGATACATCCTGTTCTATTTCCTCACAACTCCAATCTAAGGCTGCTTTGTCAAGCTTGAACATTCTGCGCTGTCTAAGTTGTGACATTCCTTATTTATATTTACGCTCTGTTTCTTAACTCATATCAATTTTTACATAGGCTTTACCTGGTGTGTGAATGGACGTCCCCATCAAAACTGACGTCACCAGAGAGCAACATTTTTTTGCGGATAGGGTGACGGCTCGTGCCTCAGAACTTAGTTCTGAACTCTTACGTAATACCAGTCCTCCTAACTGTCAGTGGATGCTAGACAATTCCATCACGCATGAAGAACAGACTTGACGCAACAGAAATTTCGTTATGCAGACGGATTCTGAAATTACCATGGACTGAATACGTGACAATAAGAAAGTCTGAGAGAAAATGGAAACCAAAGGGACACTTATACTTAACATGAGAAAATGACTCTTGACATTTCTATAGCGATTAATGAAGAAAGAGGGCTTAGAAAATTTGACACTTACAGGACATATTAAAGGGCAGATGGAAAGAGGAAAACTATGAACAACCTACCTAACGAGATTGTGCAAATGGTTTTCAGAGCAGGGATTAGGAAAGATTTTTTTTTAAATTACGAAGAGCTACAAAGGACAGGAAATTCTGGAGAGTTACTATTGTCCATGCCTTAAAGAGACATGGCATATAGAAGAGGAACACACAAGAGAAGGCAAAAGTAGATATACAATAATGACAAACAAAACGTCCACACAAAACGTATTGTATTGATTATACAACCATGAATAACAACATGCTAATAATAAACGTATCAGTCATAAACAAATCAATCCCTCTAATATTCACATTGTTTGCATCTCCACTCATTCCTCATGCACACTCTGACACAAACTACTTATCAGCATCAATTTCCTGGCAAGCCTCCCGTATTAACTGTATCATGGCGTCTGTAGAACGTGGGTAGCGAACGAAAAACCTCTCCTTTACACATCCCCAGAAAAAAAGGCCATAGTGGTGAGACCCGGCAAAGGTGGTGGCCAGTCAATGGCTTCTCGACGCCCAATTCACGTGTTGGAAAATTCTTCGTCAAATCCCGCACCCACAGCGAGTGTGAAGTCCGGTGGAGCCACATGCTGAAGAATAGAGGTCGCCATACTACTGGGTTCGATGTAAAGCCGACTTTTTGCAGGACCCTGAATATACTGATGGAGCATAAGAATAAAAGCAACACAGTTCGTGGCAAGATGGAAATAGCGGTGATGGAGTCCTTTACATCAGGGTCCCAAACAAATCTCCACTAGTTTTGAATTAAGAGTATCCCTATGCCTGTCTTTCTGTCTGCCAAACAGAGAGATTGTTTGCGTGAGGACTTGGATGGCTCCGTGATGCGATTCTTACATTCGCAGCTTTTTGGGAGGTATAATTTTATATATATATATATATATATATATTTTTTATATAAGGCTTCCTGTCCATTCATTCATGTCACCCATGACAGATCGACCAGTTTCTTTCCTCATAATCTAAATTTAGTTAACAGAAAAAGTTCTGACGAATGAATGGACGAAACCGGTCGACTGTTGTATTTTATTTTAAACTTATCATGGCCTCTCTCTGTTTGCAAAAAAGCAATACTACATTTCTAGTTTTTAATGCCTTAATACGCTTTTTGATGCGATTCTACCGTTTTGGTAAACCTATTTAAATATATATATATATATATATATATATATATATATATATATATATATATATATATATGTTCTGGGTATGACTATATACGGTAGCAAGACCTCTGATCAGAAGATTTGGAGGAGTGTGGAACAACCGGCTAATTACTGTTGTTACCAAGTCCACCTTCACCCGGGTTGGTAGCACCTGTTAGGGTCCCAGCTATGGGCGAATAGTTTACCTACCCCCAAACTGGGGTCAAAATACTACAAAGTGTAAAATTTTTTATAGCAAAAATCCGGCAATAAAATTTCATAGTAAAGTAATTACCAGCTATATATTTCTGTAAGGAAAAGAAAATATTATCATTTTGTGACAAAGAAATTAGCAGATTTCTTCTTTCCCTGACAACTTGAATTTAAAAAATGAAATGCATCAATCACCATCTTTTTTGAACGCTGTTTCATTTCTTTTCTTCAATCCTCTCCATTCCCAGTCATCTTATTCTCTTTCGCGCCCTGTAACCTGCGTTCTGGTGGCATTGTCGCCTTTATTTGGGTGAAAGGATAAAAAAAAGCACTATTTTGGATCACTTACCTGAGCAGGCAATCTATAGCAAAAAGATGAATTAGCTTACAACTATAGGGGATAAGAAGTTGTGGATTGCAATGTTGCACCACAAAGTGAATGGAGAAGGTGAATAGAAGAAGAGAAAATACTACATTCTCATTAATTTAATAACTTGGATTTTAATAATTATGCTATACCGCTGTATAATGCGCAGCAATTATTTCTCGTCAGACAAGATATAAATATTCCTTTTGTTTTTCAATACTGATCCTGGCACACGAAGGTACCGTTATTTTCCACTTAGTCTTTAATTTCTTTATATTTAGTCAATGTTTTATTATTGTTTTGTGCGTGAAAATGAAAATTATTCCAAAATTAAATGCAAATTTCCACAGTCTGTCGACAGTCTATTGATTTTTTTTAGAATCCATTTATTTCCCCACATAAAATACCGTGTCTAGATGACCGCAAGTGACCTGACCCGTTCCAGATGTCTTTGAGTAAATAACCGGTCAGCTGCAAAGGATTGGAGTCTATGATGAGTTGGCATCTTGTCAAAGGCCTCGTGGGTCTGATGGCTGACACCTGCTTGTTAACACTTCTTCTGGAAGGATGCCACTGGGGCGCGAACTGGAATCCACTAATTGCGAGCATCATGCTTTTAGGGCGCTAGCCAATTTAGTTTATTAGTAGTGATATAGAGAATTATTTGGAAGAGGCAAAAAGAAATTAATTGAAATAAAGAAAACGAGAAAAAGAAATTGGGCAAAAGCACATTTCGAGTTGGTAGGGCAAAACGATACAAAGTAGACCATCGAGAAAGTATGTCGTACAAAATGGAGGGAAAGCGAGCAGGACGAGAGAAGAGCGAACGAGGTGAATGGAAAGAAAGAAAGGTGAAAAAAAAGGAGACGCATGTACCAGAAAACGGAGCAAGATTATTGTCATGGGATAAAAGGTAATGTTAAGAGAGTTAGGGTTGAAAAGGAAACATGGAAACTGTAAAGAAATCCAAGCGAATTTCAGACGAATAAGATGGGGAAGAAAGAAGATAAACAACAATGAAATAACAGAAGCTTAATGAGAAGAGATGAAGTTGAAGAAATATGAGCAAGAGAAGGAAAAGAAACAAAGATAAAAACTGGAACGAAACAAATAAAGAAATGTAAAGCGAAACAGAAAACGAGGACAGTGGGGCAAAATGGGGATGGAGATGATCAAGAAGAAAGAAAAGAAAGCTAAACGCACACTTGAAAGATACTTGAACGTGTCGAGATAAAAGAAAATGTACGTCGATGCCAAAAGGAAAGGAAGAAGATGTGGGTGAAAGAAAGGAGAGCAAGCTGGTGAAAAGGAGAGCAAGCTGATAAAAAGGAGAGCAAGCTGGTGAAAAGGAGAGCAAGCTGATAAAAAGGAGAGCAAGAAAAGGAGAGCAAGCTGGTGAAAAAGGAGAGAGCAAGCTGGTGAAAAGGAGAGCAAGCTGATAAAAAGGAGAGCAAGCTGGTGAAAAGGAGAGCAAGCTGATAAAAAGGAGAGCAAGCTGGTGAAAAGGAGAGCAAGCTGATGAAAAGGAGAGCAAGCTGGTGAAAAGGAGAGCAAGCGGTTAAAAAGAAGAACAATGCCAATGAAAGGAGAGTAAGACAAAATCATAGTGAGCAAGGTGAAAGAAAGGAGAACAAGATAAATAAAATGAGCCAAACTGAAGAAAAGTGCAAGGGAACAAATCTTAATCAAGATAGAAAAAAAGAAGAATGATAAGAGAAATTAAAGACACCAAAACGTAAAAGCTGTTTGAATTAGTAAAGAAGAACCGCATTGCGAAAGAAAGTGCATTAAGAAAGTGGAATATGTCGGTGAAGAAAGTGAACGCGAAATCAATATATAAAGAAAGAATAGTATTTTTATAAAGAAAAAAATATGGAAGAAGACAATGTCAACTAAAAGAGGGGAAATTTTCAAATGTATTGAAAAGCCATTGAAAGAGTTCAACGTGAATGAAAATTAATGGGAATAGGAAAATAATGAACAGGAATTAAAAGCATAACAGCAAAAAGGATAACTCCAGGAGAAAACATCCTATAAAAAGGAGAGTAAAAACGTATATATATATATATATATATATATATATATATATATATATATATATATATATAGTGAGAGAGAGAGAGAGTTATAGGAATAGATAAATCAAACGGTTAGATATAATCAAGCAAAAAATAATCCTCAAATTTATATATGAGGTGTAATCATAATAGAGCACGATGTGGTTACACAGAGCAAAGATATATATTAATTAGTACATATACGTGTACCTGCGTTTTCGTATGCGACTTAAGTTTCGCTGGATTACAGCTCATCGGGCACATAGATAGATAGATAGATAGATAGATAGATAGATAGATAGATAGATGGGCAGTTGATGTGAAGGAAAAGAAAGAACAATTGATTGGTAGAAGGAAATATGGAAAGAGATTTGATCAACACTGGTGATCCTTACTGGATGCACTTTAAGCAGCCGATATATATATATATATATATATATATATATATATATATATATATATATATATATAAGAAGAGAGATTAGATAGATAGATAGATAGATAGATAGATAGATAGATAGATAGATAGATATAGAGGAAAAGAAAGATTGATTAGAGATAAATATAAGTTCCATAGAGAGATATAGAGGAAAAGAAAGATTGATTAGTAGAGGGAAATATAGAAAGAAATGGAATCAATACCGCTGACCCTTACTGGATGAGAAGAAAACAGCCTAGAAAGATAGATAGATAGATAGATAGATAGATAGATAGATAGATAGATAGATAGATAGATAGAAGTTGAAAGAAGAAAGAAAAAATAGGAATATGACATCAAGGCGTAAATACTATAGGTTTTCCTAAATATAAGTGTTAAATAGAATAGGGCTATTGTGCGAGAATGTAACCAGATGATTTGCCATTTTGAAAGATTGCTTCAGTCGGTCATATTTTAGAATCAAGGTCGAAGATTAATTCGTAAACAAAAAGTACCGAGGTGTTTATTTTTTCAGGACGATTTAACGCATGATAATTTTTGACAGGTCGGTAAGTACTGAATTTTTCAATGCAAATGGGTTATCCTTGATTATTATTAGTATTTTTTTTTAATTTCTGGATGGTAGCTAAAAACGGTGGGTAAATTTCTGCCTTGTCTATTTTTTTATGAAAAACGTAACAAAACTTGGACAGTCATCGGACGATCGACAGAGCCGTTCGTTGTCTATCAAGACCAACGCTTCGCTTGGGACCCTAAGACCACCTAACGTAAGAGTCATCTCTAAAGTTAACTCTACAATTTGTCACCTCTTTTCAACATTGAGGGAGACAGGTCGAGAAAAAAGCATAGAATAACTACTTCATTTGTATATACGGTTATTGTTGTGTTGCTACACGTGTCGACGGATTCTGCATATCCCCATGATTTCGGACTTTGTCGACGCTTCGACCACAAAGCTTTGCCTTTATCTTCTAATTTAAATCACAACGTGGGGAAGGATAGAAGGAGTTAAGTTGAAAAACAATGGCATACAATTACTTAATCAATAAATAATGTTTTTCACAATGGAAACCTAGAATGCTTTCGAATAATCAAGAGAATGTAGATTCAGGAAATATATAGGGAAGAATTATGAAAACATCCAGTCAGGGAACTGAGACGATAAATGGTGAAAATAAGGAGCTTTGAAATTAGATAGAAATCTCGTGCCGAAAAAATGTAAGTCGAAAGGACAAATTATTAAAAATCGAATGTCAGTATGTAAAATATTTGCCCCAGTTTATTAAGCAATCCCTTAAGTAAACATCTATGAAAGAAAAAGTCCTATCATTCAATAGTTTTAACGGAAAGTTTGTGGATATTTTATTTCGTCGTATATTTTTATATTATAAGAATTTGTATTTTGAGATTTCGACACTATCATTTTTATTCTCAGAATATTTCGATGGCTTGGTACCGTTTTTTTTTTTCTTTTTTTAAGCACAGTCAAATATGTATACTTTGCGTATAATGTTCATTTTATGGAAGAAATTGGATTTTACAAGTTTGTTTTCTTTTACGGCGTCTTTTCAACAGTGAGAGATTAGAGTGGAGTTGTTCGTTTTCAAATGAAATGAAAACAGAAACAACCGAAACAAAGAGATTTAAAGAAAGAAAATGATCTATAAGTATTTAAACAAAAGCATCCCACGCCTGTGATGGCAACCTACTGCGGGGAAAAAAATCTGCCTCGTCAGTCATATATCGAAAGATACGTGATCGTCTAAGCGTTTATCACGCATGGCACATAACTGATCCCACGCCTAATTTAAATCTACTAATCCAAATGACGAGATTTTACGATCACCGAAGTTAAGCATTGTCACGCATATTCAGTGGCGAGATGGGTAACTGTTTGGGAATACCAAGTGCTGTTATCTTGAATATGCGATTAGCTTAATCGAAATCTTAACAAGAGGGCCGAATTCTAGTTGGGTTCCTTAGTCGCTAAATATATTTTGGAAACGCATGAATTCAACTATTCTAGCCCTACCATGCATTATTTAGTAAAACCTGATTCACGGAACCATTATTATGTAGCTTACATAGTTTGTTTTACGGCATATCAGTATCAATGGGTTATTTAAAGCCGACAAGATTTTTATTCTGGTAATTTTTTTTTTTTTTTCAAAAATGTATTGCTGATAATTTTTTTTCAAAAACATGTATTACTGGTATTAAAACATATTTTTACACTTTCATACTGTTTTGACCCCCAGGTGTTAAACATTAGCCTATAACTAGAACTCTAACAGGTGTTCCCGGGTCAGAGTGGATCTGGGAAAACCCACAATTAAGAGGTGGTTCTACACTCCAAAAAAACCTCCTTGCTACCGGATGTATTTTACTGCCACACCTTGGACTCCATTATTATTTTAAAAATGTCTTACTAACTAAAAATATTTTCTGGTTTTGAATAACATACAAAGGGTTTATAAGCCGTAGAAAACGAGTCAAAAACTCGGCGTAATGTCTACGTCTTTTTAGAAATTATATTTATTGTTTATGTATGCAAACATCTTTTTGCACAAGGCCGAAGGGAAATTGGGGAGAGCCTGATCAAAATTTACTATCCTAAACCTAGATAATCAGATTCAAGACCAATTCATTCATTACAAGTTACTCATTGACCACAAAAACTCATCCATCACCATTCAAAATAACACATATTCACAGGTTACCTACAAAAAACATGATATATAAATTTTTTTATATTTCAAATTGTTTTTTCAGAAAAATATAACGTCTTTGTAGAAAGGAAAATAGATGTCCTCTGAAGTTCTACACTTGGGAACTGCATCCAATATAAAAATGAATTAGGGCTACAGCATCCTATATTTAATTCTGATCTATAAAAATATTTGAGATCTAAAATAAATCTTCTAGGGATTAAAATATATACTTTGTTCTATAGATTCATATATATTCTTCTCTAGACTCTATAGATGTTAAAATATATACCTTCGTCTATAGATTAAAATAGTAACACTTCTGATCTATAAAAATATTAAATTAGTGCTACAGCATTCTATATTTAATTTATTGTATTGAATTTTTGTACACAAAAAGCAGCGGAAAGCAAATTAGAAAGAAGGAGAAAAAAAACAATGAAAATGCCAATTAAAACCCATCGATAGACTAATGCTGAAATTTACTTCCATTAATGCGTTCCTCAATCATTTTATAAGCCTCTTTAGCCTTAGGCCCACAGTCTAACAATTTGTTTTGATAATCACTCTTTTCTATGGCGCTTCCTCTACTTGTGTGTCAATCAATCAATTATCCCAATATTAGTCCAAGTTTTTTCTTAACTTTGATCTTCTTTTTATGCGCCGTCACTTAAAAAATTGATTTCATCCTCTTACTAGCAAATTTGCCCGACTCCCTGTCTCTCTCTCTCTCTCTCTCTCTCTCTCTCTCTCTCTCTCTCTCTCTCTCAGAGCCAATATTCCAAACTAAAATATAATAGACACCTGACATTTTCTTCAGCGCTCTCCTCCATAACACACACTCACCTATATATATATATATATATATATATATATATATATATATATATAAAAATATATGTTTCTATATATATATATATATATATATATATATATATATATTTATATATATATATATATATACACATATATATATATATATATATATATATATATATATATATATATATACATATACACACATAGATATATTTATATATATATATATATTTTATATATATATACATACATATAAATATGTATGTATATGTATATACATATATATATATATACACATATATACCCCCCATATATATATATATATATATATATATATATATATATATATATATATATATGGATTGATTTGAGTACGTATTGCTTTTTGCTTGTTCGATCTTTTCTAGAAGTTTGCCAAAGAAAAACAGTAAACGTTCATTCCGTCAATATAAGGAAATCTATACAATGTTGCAATGATGTTTCTCAACCGCAGGCTATTATCTCAATTGTCAGATCAAGAGATTATCAAAATGTTAACAGCTGCAAAACCTAATTTAAGTGCTCCTCATCAAAAATAAATCCATACTGTAACGCCAACTAACATTTCAAGTGTTTGTCTGAAATAAAGATCGTTTACCGGAAGAACTTCCCATATTTGCTAAGCTTAGACATACCCTGCAAAAGATTAATAAACAAAAGAAAATTGGGCTAGCTTAATTTTGCTCGTGGGTTTGTCATGTTTGTCTTGAAAATCAACATTCAAAAAGCAGACGCTCATTTGATCCTGAATATCAACCCATACCACAAGACGGATTTATAATTCTTTCATTTCGAGAATTAACCATGTAATGTTTCAATATTTTATTGTTTAGAATACTGAAGCAACGGCTATTTATGATTTAGTTTTGGTTAATCGTTTTAAACCCAGTAGTAGATAAAATGTGGCTGTCTTCTAAGCTTACGATAATCATGCAAAAAGCACATTATTATCGACCAGACCGATTACAAAAGTAATGATATTCGAGAACAGCCTTGCAAAAGATATAAAGAGGCTAGTAAAAAGGCGGAAAATCTATTATCATTGTTTTATCTTTCAACAATAATTGACCTTCAATAACCTTGAATACATTTCCTTAATATTAATGATCTTGAATAATCATTTGACTCTAGAGTAACTCTTTTATGATTGATTAATTGCTGATCGGCCTTGTGACTCGTCATTTAAAGGTTATTTGCTGACAACTTTCGTCTTTCTTTCTGTCCTCGTATAGCTAAACAAACTCACTGATTTTGAGCGTCAAGTTATCGTACTTTTCAAAGAAATAACATCCAATGTGGGAAACTGGCGAAATGTGCAGAATTTCTTATTGGATCTTTCATTTGTTGTCGCCAGTTTTCAACGGCTGTCATATGAATTTCTGAATTCACCGTCTTTTTACTGGGCACCCTGTAGATCAAAAGCGTGTATGTATTCAAGTCTACTCAGCAGAAAACACCGACAGTTGGCCGCAACTTTAAAATGTAGACAAGCGTACATCCTTCATTGCAAATGGCGACGGCAAGTTTGCGCTCTCCGCCTTTTACAAGATAAGTTGGTATTTTCTGCACAGAGTCACAATAAAAGAACCATTGTCATATAAAAAAAAGCTAATCAGTGTGTACGCCATAAGTGTATCACACCAAGCTAAGCTTATTAAAATAAAATATATTTGAAAACAACTGTGAAATTTCCATGTGTTTCGTTTGTCGGATATTGTCTGTGGAGAAAGTCTCTCGAACAGTAAAGCGTCAGCAATAACTGTCGAAAAG